ATGGTTGCGAAATATAATTAAGATCTATTGTAAAAAAAAAAAATTTCTTAAATACATATATATACATGTTTTTTAATACCATAATTATATGATCTATTTCTTTTAATATTTCAATTTATTTAGTAATTCTTTTTAGCAAAATATCATTCAGAGATTCTAATCTTTGATTTTAGACACAGCAGTTTTTTGACAAAAAAAAAATTACTTGAATAACCAACTTCTTTAAGAATCTTCAAATTCTTAAAATAGTAATTGCTTAATTTATGTACTAATATGGACTTATTAATTTATGCATCATGATTACAATCAGAACTCTGATACAATGAATTCAGGGATATCAAGATACTTATTATATACTTTATTATTAAATTTTAATGCAATAAATAGTACATACGTACGTACGTAAATTAAATTACTATATAAATATCAATAAACTTTCAATTAATATTCTTTAGTTTTTTTTTTACTACACAAATATAAATGAGTTCTAGAACTTCTAAAAACGTATAAACGAAAAATTAAATACAAATACTGCTAATAAACAAGATCGCAAAAAGAAGGAAGTAGCTACTTCTTCACCTTTAAATAATCATAATGATCCTTTAGATAGTGCTGCTAACTCAAAAAGCAAAAAATCAAAAAAATTACATACTGCTAGTAATGAAAAAAATGATGTATCTGTTACTTCACGTACAAAAAAGCAAGATACAGTTACTTCAGTTGTTAATTATCAAACTATCGATAATCTTTTAAATAGTTTCAACGATAGTATTGAAACAAATCATGATGAAAGTGATGTAGATTATAATAACGACATTGTAGAGACAGAATCATCTCAATCTCATATTAGATCAAGTGTTATTATTTTAGATGATTTTAATAATATATTAATCTCTACACCTTTAAGACCTTCAGTAACAAGAGCTATAAGTATTCATTGTGATGATTTTATTTCTTCACATGAAGCTGCATCTCGACCTCCAATATTTGCATTTTCAAAATATTCTACACAATGAGCTATAAGCATTTTTAATGATAACTTTATTCCTTCTAATGGACCTGTATCTTGCTCTCTTATATCTGCATCTTTGGGATCATTACAAGCAGTTAATTCAGATAATTTGTTTATTTCTTTTAATAATATGCTAAACACTTCCAATATTCTATCAGCATTTAGAGAAATAACAATTTATCAACTATATCTGTGGCTATGCAAAAATCAAAATATTTTACAACTTACAAATAGTATGAATATATCTATGCAATCATCAGTTGTAGATAGATCGCTCTTCACTTCTCAATTATTACCAAATACATCACAACCAGCAATTTGGGATGATAAAGTAAAATTAAAAAAGATATTTTTTATAAATTGGTTTGAGAAATTAAAGATTATTAACAAATAGTTATTATAGATGAAAGCTAGTCGTGATTTTCTAGAAGAACTAAAATGTCTTTTTCTTCAAGTTCGAAATCCCCATAAAAATGCAATCGAGGAATTGGTCAGACAAATTATCAAATGCGATCTCAATTCAGCAGATAGTATAGAATGGTTAAGAGTCAGGAATAGGCATTTTGATGACTTTCAAAATAAACTACTTGATGAGACAGAAGATTTGATCGAATTATTTAAAGCAACAGAGTAAATTTATCTATTGTTTGTTTTATAATTCTTATTTCTGTATTTAATATATTTTTTTTAGAGAAAATTTTTCCACTTTACCAAAAAAAGAAGAGATAGATAAGTTTATTGATGGAAAAAAACAGAGATTGTATTGCAACGATGGCTAAACGCTACAAAGATGGATGAATTAAAAGCGCCAGTTTATTAAAAAGGCATTTATTGTTAATTATAATACTAGAGATCTAGAAAAGACCAAAGCTTTGGACAGTATAATGAAAAATATTGTCATACCCTCATGAAATGGAAAAAATTTCGCCAACAATTTACATTTGTAAGATGATTAGACAAATATTAATAATTTATTTTATTATTATTAATAATACGTAGCTGATATAGAAATACAACTAGTTCTTCACATTTCATATTAATACATAAGTACATAGCTATATAACTTGTTATAT